TCACAGTCCACGTGGGAGTCTATGCCACTGTGGCCAGAGTCAATGACCCTTCCATGTGGTCACTGCTGTGCACTCTCTACACATTATCCAGCATAATATAGGTGTGACGCGACACGGGGCTCATAAGTTTTACTATCTTCTAACTTCCAATTTCTTCTGCTTCTTACTTACTCAGTTGCAACAATTGTTTCAAGATGATTAACTTTCAGGAAAACTTTGTTACAATGAAATACATCTACGGTCCAACATTCACCCCAGATCAGAATACATGTAAGGCCAACTCTGATCCAGTGTTTCAAGTCTGGACATTCTCCAGAATAGAAATGGTACAGACTTCATCTACATTTTAATAGCAATGCATGGCAAGTTCTTCTACATTTATGTAAAGTCCAAAACCTTACATACTTTGGATCCAACATCAACTAGTCCATTGCCAAACAAATACAAGAATAGAAGCTATTAAGTTGTAGCTTTACATACCAAACTATTATCATAAACAGCTATACTTGACATAAAACAAAGAACAATGTAGAAAAGAATCAATAAAACAAGAATTGAACTTGAAACATACCTGTGGACAAAGGGCAGAGAAGGACACTTGCTGATTGTGGGTTCACTTAAGTCTGCCTCAAGTGACCAGCACAGTCAACAGAGCAAACATCCTGTCCTTTGGGTTCTACCATAAGTCCAGGGGTAGGGCCACTGAGTAACTTAAGGACTGGTCCGTTTCAATTTTAGGGGGTAACAAATTTCTCTATCCTCTACAAGAATACATAAAAAGCTTGAGATTGTTTTACAAATTTGAACAATACGATTTTCCATTTGAATGAATTTTTCATGTCCATAGTAAGACACGTTATTTTTTTATTCGATTTATTTTTCGCAAGACGCTTTCCAGTGCACGTAGCTTTTAAGCTTCTTCAAGTGCTGATGACAAGATTAATTAAGTAGAAATGCACTCCAAAAGTATCTTTTAAGTTGAAAGATTCACATTGAAACTTGTAACATAATTTCAGTGTTACCTTATATTGAATCATAGTCATAGTCAACTTGTGTCTTGCACAACTTTGAATAACAAGTTTGAATAACAAGGTTTCGCATTTGAATGAAATTTTCCTTTCCAAAGAAGTCAGATTATTTTTATGAACATTTTCCCATAATTGTTTCTAATGCATGTATTATCCACCAAAACAAGGACAGTAATGCTTGAAGTGTGACATGCACGTTTGGTGCATGTATGAAACTTGAATATCAGCTAAATATCTAGATTTCAAAATATATGTAACTTACTGGCATTTTGAAATCCACTAATATGCCACTGAGAAGATTACCACAGATGCTGAGATTCTGCATTACAAGTAACGTGTGATGAAAGGTCATCGATCTAGTTTACTGACTGAATGGGTGAGGAATGACTAAGGATGTGGTGGCTCTTTTGTCACTATGTCTCTTCATTACAGTCACTACAACAGCCTTAAGTGTGTCCAAGATGACAGCCTGGATGACAATGGCAATGATGGAAGTTGTCACCCACTCCCACAAAGTATGCCAGCAGACACCATGGAACGATGACACAGACCACAGTGTGGCAAATATACAGGATATAATCAGGAAGATCTGGACAAACGCTGCTAGAATTGAAAAGCAAGATCTGACACAGTGCTTGCTGGATGTGGTTGGCTTGATTTCAGACAAACTTTGGTTCCCTTGAGATACGTCTTGCTTCCCATTGGCCGAATCTTTACTGATGATGATGCCATTCCTCAAGGAATCTGTATCCGAGGTAGACAAGGTGGATGAAGATTGAATACCATCCATGGCGACAGCGGAGTCAGAGTTGGTGCTGACGGGCAGTCTGGTAGTTGGTTCCTCGCAAGGTCTGATTTCAATGGTGCTCACTTCGTTATTGTTGTTCTCATTTGTGTGGTCGAGGCCAATCATCTTTCTCTCAGCTTCCTCTTGAGCTTCCTCTTGGAGTCTCACAAGACGTGGGTTTTTGTTTGCACCTGGTGATTTGTGCAGTGAACACCAACGCAGGAATGAACCCCAACGTGAACGGCCAGCATAGTCTACGTCAATGACGTAGGCGCGTTCCTTTCTGGCCCTATTCCCCCGGATGTGGCAGGGAGATGGTGGGCTGGAACGTTTGCTCTGAGACAAAGAAAGGAACCACACATTTTTTGATGAGAAAGGAAATAAAGATGTGGAAAGATAACTTTGCAATAATGTTAGGAGAGAAGCAAATCGAACATTACCAAGCTATGATTCCTACCTTGTGCTTGCATACTTGTCTGAGATCTTGCAGAAAGGCCAATGCTTGCATANTACAAGGCTACATAAAAATACATTGGGCTACAGCTATAGCGAATGCCCTTTTTTTTCGATTACTCAAAGTTGTTTTAATTTGGTTTTGCTTCCCTTGCCTGTATCTTGTTGGGCATTAGACAAGCTCAGGTTGGACGTTGTCTTTATTTATACTTCGACTGACACAAAGCAATGTAGACAAACGTAGATCATTCACGACGGAAAGCGTGGCATTGCAATAAATTTCCTGCAAAATGCATTGTCCGCGGTGCGGGCGTATATCAGTATAGGCTATAGTAATTTCAACCATGGAGAAATAAAACACATCTCCATGCTTCAACACAGCATTTATGGAATTCGTGATACAAGGCACTTGTGAATGACATTTGATCGAGCTGCCTCCGCCAGGTAAAAATGTGAGAAAAAAAAAGTTGAAAAAAATTTCGCATTGGAGGAGGACTTTATACCCTGGACGTCAGTCTTAGTGTAGGCCTAAATGAAGACAACGTTCAACCAACCTGGGCTAGTGGCAGTAGTGCGTACCATTTTTTTATCACGTTCATAACCTCAGCCTCAGTATGCTACGTAGAAAAATCAAAATGTGGAAGAAAGCGACTGTCATGCATGACTCTTCTCACCTTACAGTCTCGGTGACTGAAGCCCAAAGAAGTACAGCAATAATCAGGCAAAATTGCATTCGAAATGAGGCGATTTCTCACGAAGAAATAAGGCATCCACACTCAAAGCAAAGCGTAAACACAACTGGTGTTTCCATGGTTTGCGCTCAATTTATAGCGGAGGAGCAACATAGCAACCTACGCGTGACGTAACAATCATAACTCTGGCCAAAATCTACTCTCTCACAACTTCAAGTAATTTGTTTTCATTAGAGTATTATTTTAACTCAATTTTGTGATGACCAGAATGTACGAAAGTACTGTTGACTCTTATCAGTAAAACGGCACTCCTTAACATTAAGCTGATGAATTTAACTGTTGAATACAATCAGCTAAATCGCTTTGTGAAAATTCTCGAGAAGGAAAACTTTTCGCATTGAATTGTGGGATAGTCTTTCTGAATGTGTCAGCAGAGGGGCCGTTTTCAAACGAGCAGTGCAGAAAACTGATATCAGGGCAGGATTAGGGGACGGGCCGGTGTGTAGCCCCGATCAGTACACAACAGGCAGGAGAATTCAAAGGCAAAATCAGGGCTGCAAAAGAAATAAAACAGTGTGTAAAATACAAAAGAGAAAGCAGGAATGTTGATTCACACAAATAGCTGGCAAAGTATTGTATTACTATGGTTTTACAAATTATTCCCCACCCGACTGTTGACCCAACTAGTTTTTCAATTATCCTACGTGATGGCACTGGCGGCAGATGGGGGGGGTCACTTTTTTGACTGCGGGGAATACCACCCCCTCTTTTGCAGGTCCTGTAATGGGGATGTCACCTTCGTTTAACTGATCCTCCTCTGCAGCCGATTCCAAAATTGATAAGGCAAGGGCAAATCCAGAACCGAATTTTCGACGGAGGGCGGCCAACATGTTTTGAGGAGGGGGAAATAGATTGGAAAGATTGTATGCAACAGCTATGTCTTTTTCTGGGGGATAAAGCAAAATTTTGTTGTTTTTCCACACTTTTGGAAGAGTCACAAAATATGGTGGGCCTGATTCGATCCTAGCTACATCTTTCTCAAAGGCAAAATAGAAGAGAAGGAAAAGAGACCAAAAACCTTTTTCTCTAATATTTTTTTCCACAAAAAATGGTGGAGGAGCATTCTGCTCTGGTTCCACCTTTGGGTTGATATTTTAGTTTGGGCCTACTCACTTTGTGTATTAGGGTTGAACAGCATTGCATGCATGAATAAATGCAAGAATGTTATTAAAATTATATTTGGTGATTGTGTAAATGTAAATGCATGTAAAAGAAATGTAATACCGAAGTTGTATTGAATTGAGGAGAAATACGATACAATAATATTCTAATTGGTTTTGTGCAGGGGGTGTGTCATACTCTTGAGACTTAATGTTTCGATGTATATGTTATAATATATTTGTCTATGTGTCAAGTGATGTGGGCCTACTAGTGTTCTGATCTTTTTGACTGCATAAAATGAAGCTTTGATTATTGTCCGATCCTTCCCAACTTGTGTACATTTATGCACTGTTTTTGTCCTGAAATGAAAATACCAGATCCCACAGTGCACATTCGTTGCTGAAATTATAAACTGGCTCATGAAAAAAAATACAAGATGATTCAAACTGGGATGCATCGACTGGGCAAGATGGAGTTAAGTGATAGTACAGCATAATCCTAGCAACCAACAGTGACGTGCAACATTGATCTCCATTATAAAGACAATGCGTGGCAATCATAACTCTGGCAAAAAATGTACTCTTTCACAACTTCAAGTAATTTGTTTTCATGAGAAGTTTCATTCTAAATCCATGTCACAATGAACAGAATTTTTGATACTACCATTGTTTATCCGTTAAAAAGGCCTTCGTTGACATTATCATGTGAACTATAATCGTATAACAAAAGTAGCCTAGGCCTAATTCTCGCGGTTGGGATGACGTCACTGTTTTGGTTCTTCTCTCTGATTGATCAATTGGTCGCTATTCTATATTTCACACTTCAAAACTCAAAGGGGCAAAAATAGTGTTGCGTCTATGGGGAAAATCTGAATTAATGACTAAACTCTCAACCTTTTCATTAAATATGCCCAAAATTTCGCTGTTAATGCACTGTGAATATCTTCCACACTAAGGTTTCCACAAAAGGTTTCAGTAATACCTTTATCATGATGCAGCAAAAAATAGGGAAAACATGCAAATGCCTGAATAAAGCAAATGGAGGATTGCCCCTTTGTCCAGCCGCGAGGGCAATAAATGGAACAACCTCCGACCGCGAGAATTCACTTCTTGAGAGAGAAAACCTTTCACATTGAATTATGGGATGGTATAGTCTTTTTTAGAGTGTCACGGGGGCTCTGGATGGGACACTGATAGACGCAAAATAAATTCGGCAAAAGGAATATACACTTGTAACATTTTAGAGAGGAAATAGATCAGGCAGAACCAGCATGTTGAATAATACGGATAGATGACAGAAGTGTTACATTATTATTGTGTTGCAAAATAATCCCACGTCAACCGTTACCAGACTATATTTCTTATCCTACATGGGACGAATTTGAACGGGCAAACAAAATCCTGGCTATTTGCGTTGGGAGGCTTGCTTATTGCGTCAGCCAGCATTTATGGGGGGGGGGTTCAAGCTATTAAAGAGAATACGTTTTTCTTGTTTTTATAATGGGAAAGGCCCCTTCCCATTAGCTTTTTGCTGCTGCCTTTTTTGACTTAGCTGGCAATTACGCAGGATAACTCTGTCTAGTAGTTGGGAGCTCATACGGGGGTCTTGTCAATTTAAGGCCAATGTGTCATGGTCTCAAATATCTAATCATTTCTCACTTTGTCTTATTATTGACTGGTTCCTTCCTTGCATATGTACAGATCACAATTTGACAGTTTTAATGGAAATTTGGCTCAATATAGTCAAATCTTGGAGGACATCAGCAAATTTTTGAAAAAAATCCAGACATATTGTGAAGTACGAAGTTTCAAAATGATCCAAAGTAAATGTAATTAATGTATTTGTCTATGTGTCAGTTCAACGTCCTGAAAGGGTTGCCATTTTCTTGTTGACTGCATTAAAAAATGCATTTATTTTTGTCGCCCCTTCCCAATTTGCGCACATGCGTTTGGTAACCTGAAGTGAGAAGCACCAGATCTGAACGTACGCACTGAAATTTCAAACTGCAGTGGCTCAAAATCAATGCAACTCCGGCCACTTGGCGGCGCTATATTCATATTATTGTGCATTTCCTCTCAAGTCTGTGCGACCACATTGTTTAGTTCACTTGGTTTAACTTTCAGTGAGTTCAGTTATTAAGGTTCTCCCCCAAACTTAGACCAAGCATGGGACAGAGGTAATTGGATTTCTTTATATTTTATGAATCGTGTCTTTTTGGTGATTTAATTGTGCTATTTTGTATTAAAGTTTTGAGATAATAGCCTAGGCCTAAACAGGCCTATGCTATGTTACATAGCATTGTAGCTGTTGCCTACATGTAGCTACATGTACATGTACAATATATAGGACCAATTTCGTGTAGCCCTATACTATAGGTGTCTAATGTTAGGCCTAATAGCACTACTGAAATAGGTCAAGGAGGCTGACTACCTTGTGCAACTGTGGATTACAAATTTTGAATAATTCCGGCTTTTCAGTATTATTAAATTCAACCCTTGTTTATGTCAATTTGTTATATTTATGGGTCATTATTACTCTAACTTATTAGCCTTATCGCAAATACTGCACAGGCAATTTTAAGCAATGGTAGAAAGGCATTGTGGGAAGGAAAAAGGGGCAATGTTTGCTCCTTTTTCCTTCCCACAATGCCTTTCTACCATTGTGTAAAATCACCCATGCAGTATTTGCGATAAGGCTAAGCATGTCTACTATCCAAATGCACAATCATTTATCAGGACTAATTTTATTCTTTTGTACATGTACCTATTTTCCTGTTTTTGTGTAAAGCCCAGTTAAAACCAGTGAAGTTATGAACCTCAAGTGAATGTGACCCTCGTATTTGAAGTGAATCAACTCATTTACAGAGAACATTGAACTCTGATCGGAACTTTGAACTTGAAATTGAACTTCAGGGGAACTATCAATGAACCGATAAGCATCATAGTTTAAAATCCTAACATTTCATTGTGGAAAATTCATTGCCTAAACAAGGCATCCTTAAAATGCAGTATGTGGATCTGGGGTGACACATTTTCCTTTCTGAATGCTTCATTATCACCCTCAACTGATTATTCAATAACCTCAAAAACAGAACGTTTCACAATAAGGCTCCATCTTATTTAGACTCATTCCTTAAATTTCAGGTACCCCTCTCATTTGTAAAACCCCGATCTGCCTTTTTAGCAATACACAACATGAAGCTGATGCTTAAACAAGTCTCATCCCCTGAAGAACTCTTTCATTTTACATTGTACGCATTTTTATATTTTTGCTTCAAGTGAACTTTAGAGAGTTTTTCCATGGGGAAGGGGGCTAAATTTTCCTGAGGGAATGGCCCCCATTGCTATTTCCTTGGCTTGCTTCCAATGGAGTTGGAGGTCAGTAGCCTCAATACTTCCCTTGGTCACTATTGAAATTCAGTTACGTCTGTCGCGCTTTGTTCCATTTCAGATTGTTGGATTGTACTGGCCACTAGTTTCCTGGATCCCCATGTGGTTTAGTCTCACAGGAGCCATGAAATGCTCCTGATGGAGATGCATGACGACCAGTTGGTGTTATTCATGTTTGTGTGTCATCGGAATGTTTCAAAAGTGCCATCTCTGGCAGCACCACCAGGGTTGGAGAAGGCCCTACTTTGCAGTGGGCATTAGTAACAATTTCACAGTTCAGGTGAGTCATCAATCCTCACTTTTGTGTTGATGTGGATGATACAGTATGTATCAGCGACACAGAGTTTGAAGTTTATAAATCGAAAGACATTGCAGTTATCTTCAGAATGAAAGCCCGATGTTTGGAGACCTCAAATTTGTCAAAGTTCCATTTTGAAACCAGGTAACGGGTGTTCTTAAATGCTGTTTCGTCTTGTGTTTTTTTATCCGTTGAATGATAAGTGTTAATTCTTGTATTCATAAAACACAGAGAAAGTAAGCGTGAATTTCATATCTGTCCTGCTTGATGCCCCCACTACAAGATTATCTCAATGTTTAGTTTTCCAAAAAGATATGCAACTTTATGTCCTGAAATATTTTACATCTATAAATGCCGCAATTTTCCCATAACATGTTTGTGATTTTTTTCAACAAACCTTCTGATCATTTCTTTAATATAGCACGGGCAAGCAGTTTGAATTCTTAATGAAAGGATTTTTGCTTGGGGTTGCTTAATATGTATGTAGCCTCCAGTGTCTTCAATTTCTGATGACATGATTAAAACTAAAGGTTAACAGAAATAGAAACATTTAGTTCAAGTTAAATGTTTCAAATTAACAATAAATATGCAACCATTTGAAAAACATCGTGAATTCAATGTTTACCCCATTAATCATTACCCCAAAATGAATTAAAAGATCCTGCGTTTCCCTGCCCACAAAAAATTCCCCTTTAGCCGTTCGTGCTCCCAGGCTGATTTGACGACATCATCAGCAGAACGCCTACATGCACAGTGTACATGTATATGTACATTGCATAATTCCACACAATACAAGGGGTTTCGCCCGCTTGCATTTCAGTCCACGTTGTGTTTGATGTAGCTTGGCCCACAGGCAAATACTGTGCTAGCTAGTAGGACTGTGTCTTTTAATTTCTACCTTGAACTGAGACAGTGTTTGCCTGTGTGCCAAGCTACATTGAACACAACGTGGTCTATTGCAAACGTGTAAAACTGCATGTACTGTGTGCAATCATGCAATGTACATGTACACTGCACATGTAGGCGTTCTGCAGATGATGTCATCAAATCAGCCTGGGAGCGCGATCGGCCAAAAGCGGATTTTTGTGGGCGGGGAAATGTAGGAAATTTTTATTCATTTCGGGGTCACTATTAATGGGGTAAAAATTGAATTTATGATGTTTTTGAAATGGTTACATGTATGTATGTACCGCGGTATTTATTGTAAATTTGAAATATTTTACGTGAACTAAATGTTTTCCATTTCTGTTAACCTTTAATGGAATCCAAACTTGAATTTGTAACATTAGTTGACAAGTTTGTGATTTGATCTCTGTGCTGTGGAAAAACACAAGCATTCCAATTAATGAATGATATTATGATGTACTGTGAAAAGTTTATTTTTGTTATGACAAATACTGTCCTTGAACACCTACAAGCTTGGTCCTATGAAACTATAGTTCTGGTTAACTCCATCCTGTCAACTTTCAAAATTAGCACTGTTCATAGGTTTTCATTACCCTAAGCAGTTACAAAGACAAGGGTGGATATCTACTCCTTCGGGAATCTCCAAAAAAATCTATTCAAATTTTCTATCTGTGAGGCATGTTTCTTTTTGATGTGTATCAGTCTTCTCATCAGACAAAGAAGCCGATTTCCGTGACAGAGGAAGGAGTGGGTTCAAAACAACCTGCACAAAAAGAGTTTAAAACTGACGCCGCTTTTTAAATTTTCATCATTTCAAGTTAAAGATTTATTTATGTCACATGTCCTCAAACCCTAATTGATAAAACAACTGACTGAAACTGGGTATGATCTTCCACCAAATGAAGGCCTGAAATTTTTGAAGTGTAACATGCAACAATTGTGCATATAAAGGGAACATGAGGTTGTTAATTTATTTCAGATTCAAAGGTAATTTACCAGCATGTCATATTCCAAAGTAGAAAATGCCCAAATTTATTTTCAAGTTTAAATACATGTATTGCATTACAACATGTGTGTGATGGATGGCAATCACTGTAGTTTACTGACTTGTAGAGGAGTGGCCATGGGTGTGGAGATCTCTTGTCACTTTGTCTTTTCATTTCAGTCACTACAACAGCCTGTCCAAGATGACAATGAAGGATAATGGCGATGATGGAAGTTGTCACCCATTCCCACAAAATATTCCAGCAGACACCATGGAACAATGACACAGACCACAGTGTGGCAAACGCACAGGATGCAATCAGGAAGATCTGGACAAACTGAAATGGCAAACAAATAGGTTGGCTGGGAAACCGAGGTCCCACAACGCGACAGCCATCTCTATTGACTGCTTGCCTCCATCTCTCCAGGATTTATCAATCCACTGAGATCATCCTGCACCAGCATCTAGGATAGTAAGAACTGATATCTGTAAAGCCATGCCCAAATTAAATAAGCAAACCAACAGTGAATCTGACCTGCTACCTATACTATCAGCCCAGGCCACTACCATCGAAGAGACGTCATTTACTGACACCAAGATGGAACATTTTGAAAGCTTTGTTTGCGAAACACTGAATGAATTCTGACAAAGACAAATGGAGTTACGTAACTGCATCTAGAAACTTGAATGAAACGTCAACAAATCCATCAAGTTTCAGATTGAACACATTGATTCAATGAATCATCAAAGATGACAGGTCTTGACTCGTTGGCAACATGAATGGCTGAGAGGGAGAACGTAATGGCAAATCACTCAGTCCTGATTAACAAATTTGAGAGATTTCCCTGGAGAAATAACCTAATGGATGTCCGCCTTCCCAACAAAAGGGTGAAGACTGTCTGTTCTTGACTAAAAATATGCTGACGGAGAAGTTCAACATGCCGGATGCTAAGTTGGAGAGAGTGCAGCGGTGGGAAACTACAACATTTCCTGATAAGTTGAGCTGCTACCAGGACAAAATCAAAATCCTGCAGCAACAACGGAGAACATTTTCAGCTGACCCCTGCTGCTGTATGGAGGACCTCACCAGAATCAACCTTGACGAGAAGAGGAGATGGTCATTGTGGAAGCAGCGTACTAGGAAGGGAGAAAATATCAGTTTATGGCGGGTACATGGAGAGGCCCTGGAGGTTCATTAGCCACTTTCTCCACTAAACCTCTTTTTTGGCAAGCTATCACCAGGGCTTATCAATTTACCTTCATTCTAAGCATTATATTTTTAGATATTATATCATTGCAGCCTCCTATTTTCTCATTCTGTACAGCGTTTTGTTTTTCACATGACTCAAACAATTACTTGCATGTATTATAAATTAATCAATTAATTGATTTATTAATTAATTGATTAATGAATAAATAAATTGATTAATCAATTAATTACTTAATTAAGATTAAGTAGTTAACTTAATTGAAGAATGAACCCCTTTTGATAGTTTGGTTTTTCTTCATGCATAAATTGTCTGTTTCTATGGTACGCATGTCATTGTTTGGCTCGAGTTAATTTTCCTACCTAAGGCACTTTGACTTTGAATTGCGGTCTTCCTCTTGCTTCCCTACAGTTTATGTAATACTTTTTCTTTTCTCTGTCAATTTCATTTTAAAACACGCCCTCTTTTGTTCCTGCTCGGAGCGGATAACAGTATCCTTTCTCTTTTTACAGATACGTGTATTTATGACCACCACTTCCGCCCAATTTCAAAATGTATTAGTAAGAACAAAATGGAGCAGCCTTGGATTGCCCCATCCATTGCAAGCTGTTGCAATCACAAGATATTCAGGTGATATCCATCATAAGCCAATAAGCGTATACCGCTTATCGTAACCGACTGACTGCTAAAACCCCGCTACGATAACCAACATGACAAAGACTTGGCGTGAGATAATCGAGACTCTTGGCAAGGGGAGAAAGGCAGACATCCCAGAAAACTGCTCTGATGGAAAAGAGGCCTTCAAGTCCTTCGTTATCGCAAAATTCCTTCGGCTTTCACTCTACTGCAATCGGCCCATCTCTTGACAAGATCTCACTTCATGAATTACCTGCACAATTTAAGCACAACTTTTTCCTCATTTTGTCTTTCACCAACTGATGCTCTTGAAGTAATTGAGATTGCTAAAAAGTTGAGCGGTACTACAAGTCCAGGATTTGATGGAATTTCCTTGTCTGTTGTCAAATCAACTATCCCTCATATTTTCTCATCCGCTCACCCATTTTTTTAATCTTTCCCTTTCTAGTGGCTTCATTGCATCTAAATTTAAAGTTGCTCGGGTGATACCCTTTTTTAGAATGATGATTCTCATCCATAATCATCTTCCGAAATCAGTCCTTCCTTGCCTCTCCTATAAATTTCTCGAAAGAATTGTCTACAGCCGACTGCAAATTTCTTTCCAATGTCCTTCTCTTTCCCTATCAATTTGGTTTTTGTTCCGGATATTCTATGGACATGATACTTATTCACCTTACTGATAGTATTTCAGCTGGTATTTAGCTGTCATTTTTGTGGATCTTTCCATAAACTTTAATACCTTTAGTATGATATTTGTTATTTCTAAGCTCTGTTTCTATGGCGTCAGGGGTTGCGCCCTTGATTAGTTTAAGAGTTTCATGTACCTTGAATGGAGATGTCAGTTCACCATTTTCCACAGGTGTAAGTCGTCCAGGAAACCCATCAGCCATAGAATGCCTCAAGGATCTATTCTCGGACCTTTACTCCTTCTTCTGTATTTGCTGACGACACTAACATCACCTTGTCTAGCTCTACTTTCGCACCTTGGTTGATGCAGCGAACTACAAACTGACTTAACTCACTTCTGGGTTCAAGGCGAACAAGCTTTCCCTCAATGCAGGCAAAACGAAATTTATGTTGTTCAGCAAATCCAATTCCCTTCTTGCTCTCACTGTTCTTGTTTGCACTGATGGAGATCCCATTTTGCAGGTCCACTCAGTGAAGTTTCTTGGAGTCATCGTCAACGACAAACTGACATGGCACAAACATATCTCTTCTCTCTTTAAAATTGTTTCTAAAAACACTGGTGTTCAGTCTTAACTTCAGACTTTTCTTCCACCCTCCATCTTAGTCTCTATCAACAATACGTTCATCCTTCTTACCTCGGCTATTGCGGCATCGTCCGGGCGCACTCTAGTAATAGCCAACTGTACTCTCCAGCCATTAGAGTATGCATTAGAATATACACCTGACATTTCTGTGATAATACAGCACCTCTTCTTGCACAACCTAATACACTGAAGCCCTCACAGGCATTCACAAACTCCGAACGGGACTCTTCATGTACCAGTCTACTAATAACCTTCTTCCACAGGTATTCACTTCCTACTTTCTGTTTACAAGTACATATACGTTGCCACAGTATACGACCATCAAACAATCTCTATGTTCCCTCCACTTGCACATCCTACTCCATGAACATAATGCAATTTTGGGGCCGCATCTCTGAAATGGCATTATCAGGATGGTGAAAACACAGTCGTCAGTGGGCTGCTTTAAGAAATCCTTTAAAGTGGATGTGATCTTCCATTACGTAGCATAGCTCCTCTTTTTGTTGCTATACTGAGCATTTATCTTTTTCATTTTTGCGTTTTGTTCCCATTGGTTGCTTAGTAGGCATTGTCATTATCACATCCAGTCAGTTTTTAATTTCATTTCTGCTTGTTCACCATTTCTGTTTCCTGTTGTTGATTCTGGCATGGCAACATATGAGCCTTTGGCTTCTGCCTCTGCCACCATACATGTGCTTGTTACTTGACAATCACTTTGTGTGATCTACTGTTGACTTACTAGTACTTTCTTTTTTGTAGTTTTCAGCAATATGGAAGTAAATGTGTTTATAAATGAAAAAAAGGCTGCTGGAATTGAAATGCAACATCTGGCACAGAACTTGTTCAAGCCAAACTCTGCTTCACTGGAGAGATATGCACATGTATCTTGCTTCCCACTGTCCATTACTTCATTGCTGATGATGTCATCCTCTGAGGAATCCATGTCCAGGGTAGCTGAGCTGGATAAAGATTGGCTGCTATTTATGGTGACTGCTGCATCATCAGAGTTGGTACTTACAGGAAGATTGGTTGATGGTTCATCACAAGGTTGGATTTCAGTGATGGTTACTCGGTTACTGTCATTTGTGCAGTCAAGGCGAGTCAGCTTTCTCTCAACTTCATCTTGAGACGATGTGATGTTGGTGCAACTCCCCGAGGATGAGAAACTGAGAGTATCAAGCTGGTACTCGGTCATGGCTCGGTGTCAGAAAGAAGGATTTGCAGAAGACACTTATGTGTGTAAATCCTCGGGCAAGATGTTTATCAGCCTCATTCATCTTGGTCTTGTCAATCTCAGCCGAAGATATAGTTGGTATGTCCTCATTTCTTGTGGAGGAACTGCTTGGAATGGTGTGATATTCAGGCCTCTCCTCCAATACTGACTGCAAGACTATGAGACACATACATGTACATGTAAGTCTTTATAACGGCAATGATTTCGGTCTCCTCAACCTTATAATTCTCACTAACATTCTTTTATTTAGAGCATAATCCTGCCAACTACTTTCTCACTCTGAAGAAGAAAGATTTGTAATATTTAGAACATTGAAAAATTCAATAAACCGTGAAAACACTTTACAAAAGCAAATGTACATTGACCATATAAATATTTCGAAAAAAAAGAAAAGAAACCCACACATACATACATGTAACATGACACAGACTACAAAAAGGCACGACATATGGGAAATTCGGGCACAGTTTGTGACGGCGTCCCTTGTTACATCGGTAACTTTTATTGCCCATTATTTTCACATTACAACAGATTAAGTCATCATTATTTGCCAAAGATGAAGCACACCACTAGAGCCTAGCAAGATTTAGAACAATGTCAATTTAGAATCCACATGCAGGGAAAAAGGATGGTTATTTTCACTGATGTAACAAGGGACGCCGTCACAAACTGTGCCCAAACTTCGTGGAATGACCCATATACAAGACACCACATGACACTACTCTTCAAGATGTACAAGATGTAGTTTAGCTGAACCTGTCACTAGAATGTATTGATTATGTGCTTGAGACTGATCATCAGCCTCCTGCTTGTAAGGCATCTTGTGTTTCTTCACCAAGCAAGGTGTAGTTTAGCTGAACCTGTCACTAGAATGTATTGATTATGTGCTTGAGATTGATCATCAGCCTCCTGCTTGCAAGGCATCTTGTGTTTCTTCACCAAGCAAGATGTAGTTGTACTGTACAGTTTCATTTGGTCATTTTACTAAAAGAAACCTGTCATGCACGCTGTCTTATTAGACTCATTATTAGATAGTCGTGCATGGTCAATTTGGACTAATTATAATAACAAGGTCTGGTCATGAAAAAGTGTCTTATTTGACTAATTTATAAAATGATTTGTAATGTAAAGGAAATAATTAGTAATGCACAAAAATTTATTTAGTAAACCACAAAAATTAACTAGTAATACAAGGTGACAAATTAGTCGTTTGGACAAAGTAAATTGTTCTTTGACCGTATTGACTGGGAGTACTTAACACATTTTCAAAATAAACACAAGATTCCCAATTCCTATTTGACACTTTATTTTAACTTGTCAACAATGTTCTAATTGAAATTGTAAAAGCATGCCAAATTACGCTACTCTTTATGTACAGAGGAATAACATGACCGTTTTAGAACAGACAGTGGAACAGAGAATATTTGCTACACTAGACATTATTTTTAAGAGTTCAAGTAATTTTTTAAAAAGGAATCCTGTGGCTATTTATAAAATAATAAAATGCATTACACCATTGGGAGCCTCATTGGAAGCCCCGTACCTTTCAACTTAATCTTTCTTTTTATTAATTATTTGGTTGTGAAATTAAAGGCAAGCCTTTCTATTTGCCGTATCCAATCCAGATGACAGGTTCGGGGACCATGTTAAGAGCTGTTTGGTAACTCTTGCATAGTGCTCTGAAGTTAGATAGTAGCTGAGAAATTTTAAAGTAAGAGAAAGTAAAGTTTGTAGATGTAATTAATGGTTAAGGCCAATTAAAATTAATTCCCTGTTTATCATCTCCCGACCGGATTTTTCCTACCGGCCAGACTGTTTTGATATTTCCAACTTTTTAATAAATTTCTGGCCCATCAACCTTGCAGATGTTTCTGCGCCACAAAAATGGTCTTGTGTTTTTTTTAATTCACTAGTCTTGCCCTCAACCATGACCGTGATATATGGAACACTAAGGTATTAATATACTGTACAAGAAAGGTATTTTTAGAGTTAGAAAAGTCTGTAAAATACTAACTTCAAATATCAAAGGTCCTCCCAGCCCCAAAATATAACTTTCATTGAGTGATGATAAACAAGGAATTAATTTTAATTGGCTTAAACAAAAACTAATACAGTCAAACCTCGTTAATAAGAGGTCCTTTGGACTTGGCAAACTACCTTGTTATAACAGGAACCCTGTATTATTAGGAATGAAAACAATGAAAAAGAAAGGATTGAGACCTAACAATTTCCTTGTCTTAAGCAGAACCTTGTATTAACAGTGCTCTTCTTAACGAGGTTCAACTGTAATGATTTTTTAGACCACAGATATGAAACTTACCTGTCTCCCCCACAGAGACTTTGCTTCCAAGTGATGAATTAAGCGAAAAGTAAAAAGTGGACTTCATGCAATTTCATTGACTTTTTGTAAAAAACCTCATGAATCCAACAAAATGTATACCACTATAACCAGCCGTGACAATTTAAAAGTTGTTTTTTCCTTTCATCATGTTCATCATTGTAAACCTACCAAAATGATAAAATAAATCTTGAGCACAACAGAACCTTTTTACAGCACAAAATGTGACTGATGCCGAATCGGTATTTGCTGTTTCGATTTGCTTAAGCGTGAAAACAAAAACTTGCTTAAAAACAAAGGACACCAGCTCAAACTCTGATTGTCATGCTAACCAAAAGACAGGTAAATATGATCCCAAAACAATAAACATGTATATCACATGGAGTTTTGGCTGGTTTCCTGATTTTTTAAGCAAAGTTTTCTCGCGCTTAAGCAAATTTTTTGCTTAAGCAGCTCTATGAAACTGGCCCCAGCTGGACTACATGTTTACTTTTTGAGTAGCATTCAGCATTTTCTTGCGAGACTTTAATGAGATGTTCCCCAAAACAAGATAGAAGCTTCCAAACTTCATGTTCTGGACCTTACTACCACGAGGGTTTGCAACATTGAACTCATGGTGGTAAAGCTTGATCTGCAATTCTACTTTCTGTGTAGAAAACAATGCATTTCTCTTGAAATCAGGCCATGTACATGTATACAGTCTTCTAAAGCATCATTTTGTGAGAAATGATTACTGTACACTTCAGCAACACATCCTTTGTTTTTAACAGTTCTCTTATAGTGTCTAAGCAGGAACATACTCAAATGTTTTCGTCCTTCCTTGGTACATTTTCTACCGGTGCAACAAAATCAACATGTTGAGAAATTTATCCCTCAAGAGCCTTTTTGAGAACTCTGAAAGTGCTTTTTCACATTGAGACTCTCAAAATATATCCGACAGCCCCAACTAGTTAAGGTCATAGTTTATCTGCATCTGCACCACCTCTTTCCAAAGTGGCAACAACTCTTTGAGATAAATCCTCATGGAAATGCTGCAACATTCCAGAAGCACGCCTTGCCATGTAACAATAACAGCATGGAGTATTCATTCGGTCTACTAAATTGGGCCTGCCTAGCTTAGTGAACAGGTTACATTTTTATCTGTTACTTTTGCCATTTAATGCTTATTTAATAAGTTCGATATCACGCTTGAGGGTATTGTCGAACTAAATCCGAGGCATACCGAGTAGGTGAAGTTTTTCTATCATGGCTCTCATACAGTTGCTGTTCATCAATCTCTGTTTGTCTGCTTTCCTCGGCTCTGGGACAGCTTACCGAATGATGTCACTGAAAGTATTCTTTTTAGTCTAAAACCTCATGAACAAATTAGAAATTCACTGGTTGAGTATTGAATAAATTTTAGTGTGTATGACATTCAATGTACATTCCATTTTTATTCCATTTTCATACACCTTAACTGTTCTTTGCAACTAAGTGCCTTTTTGTGTACATGTGTTGGATGTTGCAGATGCACTGCTTACACAATGTACTCTTATTATACTTGTTTTCAGTTGTATACTTGGTTTTTTTTTTCGACAATTTTTTCTTTCTTGCAGAGTGCCAGAGTAAATAAGAATATGAATGGTTTTCACAACTTACACTGTGCAATTTTCTAGTTGGATTGCACGGTCCTCTGCGTTTTTTATCCCCCATTGTCTTGCCTACTATAGTCAGGAATTTGATCGCAGTGGAGGTTTTTTCTTGTGTATTTAAATATACCATTGGTTGTACATGTGTATGATAAGATACTTATATATTTTTGTAATTCGAGCGCTATAGTTCTTTCTTTTTTTTTTAGTGTTTTGTCTATTTTAATTGTACAAAGATCTCTTTGTGCATGTTTTTACTTGTATTTTTCTTTTGTATTTTTTGAAGTATATGGAAATTACAGCATGAGTGCATATTTGTTTAAATGTTGTTCATGTTTGTGTCTCTGTAATTTGCAGAGGGGGGGTTCTTTTGGTTTTTTTCCTCTCTCTCTCTGGTTGGTTTCAGCATTTGGGAGAGCCACTTCATAGTGGTTTAGTTCGCTTTTTGGCAATCCCTCGGGGGTGCTGTTGCCATGTCCTGTCTTAGCTACTGTTCCTTGATTGTATATGTGCCTGTGTTTTGTCTTGTCTTCCCTGAAAAATAATAAATCAAATGAAATGAAAAGTGCAGGCAGCACTTGATTCTTATGTTCCTCTCTTAGTCCAATTAATAAAGAGACAATTTCATGATTCACATCAACATGAACGTCCACTTCATCGGACCTGTCCCCATCGCATGTTCTCTGTCAAAGGCCTCTTCTTGATCACTGTCCTGTCATCTTGAACAATTTGTTTAGCACACTTGAAACAGTGTTCCACCCAGAAGTCATGATGTTTTGATTTGATATGACACCGAAATTGCCTGCTATGTTTTTTTTGTATTCGCTGACAACCATCAATGCTACAGTGCACTGATGTGTCGTCCTGAGCATGTTTATAATGCTTGAGAAGTTTGGAAAATGTCTGTGTGTTAAGTATGCAAAACATGCCTCAAGGTACATGTATATTTACAGACATTTACGGAAAGTTAGTCCTTTGCACTTTCATTTACTAAACTCCAAACTTCTCTGCCTTTCAAACTCTACCGGTTTTTCTTAAAATCAGTACATATTTGGAGTCTATACCTGAAATTGAAAAAGTGAAAATTGCATCACAACCCATAGGCCTGATAAAAATATAACTGGCCTACTTAACACTCACGAGTGTAACTGGCACAAAAATTTTACTATTTTTAACAGCTGCTTGACAGTGCTAAGGTATCCAGTCTAACACTTTCAACTTTTAAATTTCACGGCAGTCAATCCAAACAAACTTGCAAAAAGTGGAGTTCAATCAACTGAATTCAAAGCATCATTTTCTGATGTTTGTCCCAAATATTTACAGCCAAAATTTGTACCTCAAGGAATTTATATACAATGTTTATCAAGAAAAATATGCATACATGTAGTTTAGGATATGTGTTCGTTTATAACTACTCTAGTATATTCTGAAAAGTATTTGACACTGGCAATCAGTTGTCTTATTCTTAGCCTTGAGTATTTCATACCCAAAAGTGCCAGATTGCAAGCTTCTGTTCTGAAGAACTAAATGATTTTACGTTAACTATTTTCACTTTTGAAAA